GTAGAAACGAGATCATCGCTAGATGCTAACTTATGGGCTTTGATAAGTAGAGCACGGAACATGTTGGTAAGTCAACTTTGATATGAGACATAACTGCTGGTTTTAACCCAACTGATTTTGCCATTTTAGCCCATTCGCTGTTTTCCTTTAGGTATTGACTTTTAAATTCCTTCTCAGACGACAGACGATAAAGGGAATCATCTTCAAGATGCTTTTCCGTTATCTTAACATCTAACTTATAGGAAATTACAACGAACTCTCCACCCTTATCACCGACCGAGAGTCTTACGTTTTTCACCCTTATCAGCTCTCATACCTCCCGCATACCACGTTTTTGCATTTCAGTGAGGTTGGAGGAGTATCTCTTGGCGCGATAGTGATTAAGGACTTCGAAAGTTTCATTCGTAAACACCCGAAATTTATATTTATATAATATAAATTTATTATTAATTTAATTAATTAATTAACTAATTAATAATTTACATATTTATTTATTCGTCCGTACAAATAAAACTATTTGTAGACTTCTCTTTACAACGTCTGCTATACAACCGCTGGCATATTTGCGATAAAGCTAAAGTGGATAGTACAAAGGCTTATTTTGCTATTTTTAGAAACCCATTTTTTCCTTGTAAACTGCAAAAGTTGCCGTTTTTGTAAGCGTTCGAATGCTGAGAACCTCTTCTTGACGTCGTTTTGGTCCCACTTGAATTCAGGTTGAGTCTTTTCGGACATCTGAAATCGATCAATATGAATCAGTTGTATGGCAGCACTTCGTTTACAACGACTGTAGACGAAAAACAACAAAACGGATTGAGAACATCTGTGTCGATATGCCTCACTTTTCACAATGAATCTAAGTGTGTAGAATAAGAAGAAGAAGAAGAAAGAAGTAGAAAGAGAAGAAGAAGAAAAAAGATGAAATATGAGAACAATCGCCGTGCAGCAACTGAGTAAAGTCTTTTTCTAAACGAAAAAGAAAAAAAAACCACCAAAAAGTTGAAAAGAAACACGAAAACGATCTTTTATCTCTTGAAAACTGAGTAGATCAGACGAAAAATCGATTAAACTTCAAAAAACAAATAAATGATCCTTAAAGGAACCGACACCGAGTGGTAGTCGCGAGTGAAAAACTTGAATGGAAGGACATGAAGTATAGCAACGGCACGCGCTTCGTCACTCCTTCTCCCTCAGCAGAACGAGGTTGACGAAACACTATTGTCTCATAGAAAAGGCAAGGTCATTACTGTAATCTGACTGTCTAATTTACTCTTTATTAACTCACTGTTTTCTTAATGAGCAAGCAAGATGTTTTTATTATTGTAATAACAATATGGTGATTTACTCATCAAGGAAACAGTGAATTTATCTGATCAATGCCGGTTAATCCCGGTCGAAAGGAATCTGGTCCTGGTATTTACACTTTATTTCCACTTTTTTGACTGACTGATTTGGTTTTATTTTTATTTTACTAGTTTAACTCATTCCTTGAGTGCGTGTGGAGCAGTGGTCGGAGGCGCCCTGCAACACAAACGTAGAATTGGTCACCATGCCCATGGCCCAGCAAGCATTCCATCCGTACGGGGCCGGCAAATTGGTGCCAAACTTGTCTACGGTCATTGTAAAGGCGAGACATGCATTCAGTCAACTCTAAACGATGCTTGATGAAGTCGAATGCATGACGCATCCCTCAGGGATTGATCAACGCCGAGAGCCTTATTCTTTATCCTTACTTCTTCAACTCGACTATTCATTTTATATGGAAAAAGTTCGAAAAAGAATTTCAAGAAGAGTTTAGAAAGCCGAGAATTAAGATCAACGAAAAAAAAATTCAAACTACGAAAATCGATCAAAATCAAAAATAAACATAAAGCTAGTAAATGTTGAAATTCAATTAGGAAAAGAATTTTTAAAAAAGGATAAAGGACAAAGCCCTCGGCGTTGATCAATCCCCGAGGAATGCGTCATGCATCCGACTTCATTAAGTATCGTTGGAGATGAATGAATGCATATCTGGCCTTTACAATAACTCGCGGTGGCCTACCGATGTATCGACCCAGTGCTGCTATCCTCCCAGACAAGTCTGGTACCAATTTGCCGAGCCCGAGAGGTTGGAAGGCTTGGTGGGCCATGGGCATGAGGATCGATTTCACGTGCGTGTCGCAGTGGCGCCTCCAACCGCTGCGCCACACGCGCCCCGCAGGAGAAGAACTAAAAAATAAAAACGGATTAAAAATTATTCCCCACCATCCTCGTCTTCTGATCTCATTTTGAAGCTAAATGGCTGAAATTTTCGACAACTATGGAAATTTTCCGGTTATTTTTTTTATGTAGTAATAATGTAGTCTTGGATGAAAGATATAACAGGGCAAATGATGGGAAAGGCGATATTTTTACTAACTACTAGTCAAAACAAGACGGCAAACCCCTGAAAAAAGAAGGGCCAATTTCGTAAGCGTTTAGAAATCTAGCGAAGAATGAAACAGCACGTTGAAAAAGCTCGGCAAAGTGCCAGATCCTGCTAATCGTTAGATGAAACCATATTGATTTGGTAGCAAATAACGAATCCCACTTCATTGAACAGTCTCTGAAGAATTTTGAAATAATGCTTAAGTTTTATCTACCGTCTACTCTTTTTTCCTTGGGATGGTATTGTGTGAAATACAAGCACAAGAATGCTGAGATATGAGCAAAAGTCGGAACCTCAACTGCGCTTCCAACTCGTGATTCTGCTTACCGGAACTCACGTGCTGTCCACCACACCAACCACGCACATCGCTTTGCCTTTCTCTCAACCAGTTTCTTACTCTATCGATACTATCGGCAACCACTCGTCAACGGGAATGATCTAGAGAGCACAGGTTTGATATATCTTTGGGCTCTTTATATATATATATATATATATATATATATATATATATACATATTTTAGCAAATCACTGTGTACGCCAAATATGCACTTCACTCAGTCACCACTGCGATGCTATGAGTGGAGCCGAATGCATGGAGCAACCTTCAAGGACTGGTGAGTACCAGACGGCGTTGCACTTAATAACTAATCCTTCTCCATATCATATGATAAATTGTAAGTTCGGCTAAAAACATGAAAAATCGAAGGACTGGTAGTAGAGGGCATGCCAAATATATTTAATACGACCGCGAAGAAAATAGAGTTCCATGCAAATTGTAAAGCCAGAGAGCTAACCGTGAGTAAACTAAAATTCCTATGCCAAAACCTGGCCCAATGGAAAAAAACGGGTGGTTACTTGTGTAACCACCTTTCTATGCCACGACCACTATGCGAAATGTTTATAAGTGTAACCACCTTCCCAAGACTAGTAGTAGTACCCTCCTTGAATATACCCAGATTCACATCAAAGAGCCTAACTCGCAAACTAAGACTACAAAACTACATTCAATTTCCACGACGAACTAGAGCTATCTGTCAGTAGAGCCAGATTCTCATACCAGAGGGCGACAAGCTATCTGTGAGTAATGTCTTACAAACCGACCATTATTGAACCTCGCAAGAACAATCGACATTATTTTGGACTACTGAGCAAACACTAGGTTGTCATTACATAAAATATCTAAATGAACAAGAAATAATAGAAATATAAAACAAAAAAAAAAGACCGAAGCGTCGAAACGTTAGCGGAATAAATATTCTTTTATATATCAAACTCGTGTCCGCTCAATAATCTAGAACAATCCCTCAGCAAGTTTCCTACCTTAATAGTGGCATCAGCAATCACCCGTCAATGGGAATGAAACTTGCTAAGAGAAGGTTAAAGCAAGGGCCTCAGTGGTGCAGTAGGTAACACTGAGCCCCCAGAAAAGGTAATCGCGGATTCGAATCTAGCCTGAGGTCTGAGTTTTCCGGACCAGCTACTTATGGCAGAGTTCGGCTAGCTAGTTGTGCCTGGACCTATCTTCCCGCACGCACCGTAGCCAGAAGAACTATCCGTGAGGGTATGCAACTTTTAAGATACAACAGATCCACAACTCAACAGTGGTCATATTTTCCACGGCAGAACCATGCCAAGTCCTCTCGACTACATCCGCATTCCCATGACAGCACCAGTCTCGCTGTCTCTCAGTGTTCTTTTGCTAAAAAAAACAATTGAAACGGCTAAATGACCTCATAGTAAATGTGTGAGACTCTTTGTCCTCAGATTGCCAATGAAGTCCGCTGGGGAACTCATCATGAATAGAGAGTTTACTGGTACCCACTAGGGCATATTATAGTTCTTGACGGAGAACCAAACTCACTGAAATATTCATCCAAATCAGATTTCGGAATATTTATGTATTTCACAAATCGATGGAAACGCAAGTCTTTCTAATTTTAACTCACACTTCCACATTCCACTTTCTTTCCGATTAAATCAATAGGAATCCACTTGTGTTACCTGCGAAGTCCCCATCCAAAATTCACTCTAAAAATATAGCAATACAGAGAAATACAAATGGGACTCAATATAATAGGGCGCGTGTCGCGCAGTGGTTTGAGGCGCCATTGCGGCACACACATGGAATCGATCCCCAGGCCCATGGCCCACCAAGCCTTCAATCCTTCCGGAGTCGGCAAATTGGTACCAGAACTTGTCTAAGGTCATTGTAAAGGCCAGATATGCATTCAGTCACCTCCAACGATACTTAACGAAGTCGAATGCACAGTGCATTTCCTTCCTCAAGGATTGATCAACGCCGAGAGCTTTATCCTTTTTATCCTTTATATCCCAACTGTATTCAGGAAACTTTGCGAAGTAAAAAAAAAAGTACTTAACTATACCCGAGGTTTTTGGGATTCAGTCATTTTCTCGTTATAGCTTTTATTGTAAAACAATACACAATTTCTAAAATGATTAGGTTCGAACGCTCAACGATTCTGATCATTAAACGCCTTTAAAAAGAGAGCGAAGAAAGACGACGGATGAAAAATCTCTACCAAGTTACGAATCACTGAACAATTCTGTTACGAAACATGTGGCATATGTATGTCGAGTACATTTGACTCCATAATTGTATGCACAAATCGAACTCAGCTAACTGAATCAACATCCAAACAATACTTAATTGACGAACGGTTGACATTGACTGCTAATGAGAACAGACTGGACGGATTGGACGGATTGGACGAATTGGATGCATTGGAGGAACGACAGATGGATAGAAGAGCTGGACAAGTTGGCCGGGAGATTCTTCGGCTCATCTATCCGCACAGATGGCGGCTGTATGGAGCGTTCGAGAGGGCATGATGTGTGCCCGATTACCACGGACAACGTCCAGTTGGCCGGCTGCGGGTGAGTTATGAAGTCGTTAGCGAGCCGTTGACGATTTGACTGCCTATTTAGATAAAAGCCTAGTCATCGGTGTTAAGTAATCATGTGTTCTACTCCTTCCATAACATCTTATAGGTGATTGAATGCATATCTACTTTTTATAATGACTTGTGAGAACCTAGCAATGAATCAAGCTAATTCTTTTATCCTCCAAGACAAGTCTGCTAGCAATTTGCCCACAATTCAGAGTGAACGCAACGCGGGATTGAACCAAAGACTGCAGACCTGTAGCAACTACGCAACGCCTGCCCTATGTTGACTTAGATAAAGGCGGAAATCGAACACCACTGCCATGGGCGCAAAACCGGATTGAATCGGAGCTGAACGGTGACAAGGACGATCACAGCGACGATTACTATACGCCGGAGATTGGCGATTTTCCCAAGTGAACTTGATGATGACGGCCTGAGTGGGTAATGTCAGTCATCGTCATATCATATGAATTTACTGAATGCATAACTACAATTGTTAGAAAAATCGAAATAACTGGAAGCGCCACCGCCAATAAACACAAAAATCGATTGCCGTGTGAGAGAAAAGAAATTCCAGTTGGGGCGTGGCATGAAGAAGAAGGAGTCAGCAGCGGCAGCATAGCAAAACTGGCTGCACTAACAGCACAAACAGCAGCACCATTACCTTTAAAAAAACTAGTACCACTGACCAACACCGAAATGATGGAAACCTTGACTACCACCAAAACTATAAAAACTTCCACCACTCCCACAACCACAGGAGGTTCCGCCACCACCAAAACCACCAAGAGTTCCACCACCACGACCATCACTAAAATCGTCAACAGCAACACTTCATCATTTCAAATTCTATATTCGAACAATTCACACTATTTTTATGATCACCAACTAAATGATGTTCGGCCAATTATGAGTCACATATGAGTGGCTCGTGGGTGGCCTAAAATCATTCACTGTATCCTTCATCATTAAGAATCATGATTTTTTCTTGATTGTGACCATCTCTACTCATCAAGAATACGGTGAGGTGAAGTTCTTGATTAGTGCCGATGCTAAGAGAAAATTAGGGTTAGGAATTACTGAAAAGCCATCAGCTCATAATAAACTTTACTAATTAAGTCAGCAACCACTAGAATCTACGAGTCTTTAGCAATAAGGTGGCGGTTCCCTTTTTATTCAACGACAGCAAAATCCTGATATTCCGGGACTAAAAACCGCACACAATGAACTTAGCAAATTTTTAACCGTATTTCAAAAAAAACCTTACATGAGATGAATACTGTAGTAGCCTTTGGCCTTCTTTTTGTACGAGAAAACCCCCACTAGGCCGTCGAAACCCTTTTTTGTTTAAATTTTGAACAGTTTTCATTTCTACTGAATTCTAACCGAAAGTGCTGCGATTTTCGCTAACGATCAAATCCGATTATCTCCACCGCCATCACTAACATCCAAATCCGAGACGATTTGAACAGCAATAGAGCTGATATGATAAGAGATAACCGATAGAAGTGAACAGATTGAACAGCAACAACAGCGGCAACAACATCAACAACAACAACAACAACAACATCAATACAAACTTTTACAAATTCACTTCAAAGAATGGGGATTCCGACACAATTTTCCAAGAAGAAAAAATCAATCTGTATATTAAGTGGGCTGAGGACAGCGGTACTATGGAGAAAGGAAAGAACTCAATGTCCAGAAATTTTCCGCTAAAATATATGTGCTCAATAAGTAAAAACAAGAGGACGGCAGTGTATAAGGAGGACAAACAGACCTGTCCTTTACAAAGAGTTCTCACATTTACTTACTTATGTGACAGTTGAGAATATCAACTTACCATCTTCCATACTATCAAACACTTTTGTTCGCAATTAAAAACTCCTAATCTTGTTTATTTCAATTCGGTTATTTTGGTTTACAATACAATTACTTAGTCAACAGTAAGACGTCTCCCTCTCTCCCACTTTCGCTCTCTTTGTCGTTCGCAATACGAAAGCTTCTCGAGAAAAATATAAAACCCTTCAAAGTTGACACTTTTCGATGAAAACCAACAACGAGATGTAAGTGCGAAGTGGAAATGAGAGGGAGAGCGAGCGGCGACAATTGCGAAATAGGCTCCGTCTCGACTCCTCCTCCTTTCCCTCTCGTCCTATTTTTTTCTTTTTCAAATTACGCGCAATGGCGCCATTGAGGCTGTTTCGAAATCCAACCATTCACTCATAAATTCATGGATACAGTAAAGCATATGAAGCACTGGAAGAGCAAACCTGCGAACATCACTGAGTAGTATGATGAGTGCTGAATTTAAATAATTTAGTGGGAAAAGACTTTTATAGAGTATATGGGACGTAACGGCGCCCGGTCGGTTTCGATCGAATAATCGTATGAATCGTTGCAGTCGTGGAAAAATTCGCGCTGCTCCTTCAATTAATGAAAAGCAGTAACTGGTTATGATGATGATCCAAAAACGCTTCAACATGACTATTTGAGGAGGGGAAAATCATACTGAGCAGAATTCAATATATCATTAAGAGAAATGATGGCAGATCCTCAATCCGCCAAGAAGAATTCACCTAGAACCCGACAACGAAGATAGATGGCAAGTGAAAAGGGCTGTTGCTGTCTGCACGACATGAGAGAATGGAACTTCTAAGAATTTATGGAAGTAGTTTGTAATATAAATGTTAAGTACAATGGTACCGATTGAGAAATACTCTACGCACACAAGTGAAACGACATGTGTTCAACGAAAAAAACCTCATTAGGTGAGAGATTTGCGTGAATATCATATGTATTGATCGCTGTCTCTCACAAGCTGTTCCACCTAGATCTGAGTAGATTATATGAGAAACTGCGAGCGATTTCACCTGACTGCTGACCGCCTCATTTCATCGACGATTTATTGAGCAAGAAAGTGGAAGAAGAAAAACGACTTCCTGCTATTGAGATGTCCAGCTGAGACTTTATGACTATTCTAACCGAACACTATAATTATTACCAAGACCGACCTTGTCACTGACTAATAATTCATTGTCCTCTTGAGCAAACACTAGCAAGCGTACGAAGAGAAATGCATTGCCGAAACGGGTAGACAATTCTGCGTCCGTGTAAAAGAACATCTAGTTGATAAACCTTAAGGTTAAATCAGATAATCCACTAGGCACATATAGGGCACAGAAAGATCACGAAAAAGATTTCGAAGTAGGAGCAACCAGCATCGTACAGTAAACGGAACTTCAGCGTGCAAAACTCTCGAAGCATTCTGGATAAATTCCAAGAATCCGGAACGGGACCGGAAGTGGGAACTCCTTGTTATCGCGTGTGATCTCAAATAGTATCCAGGACTAATCCTTTAAACGTGAGAGGAGCATACATACCCATCCATGTGGAAACTTTGTACGGTTGGTCTCTAAGTGAAATACCGTGCAGAAAGCTCATAGAAAGCCGTGATGATGTAAAGAAGCAGTTTTGCTTCTGATGCGATTCAAGTCTTGGTTTCGTGTTTTTTTGGTTACGAAAGTTTTTGGCTGAGTATATTGCATGTCGATTTGACCTTCCTAGGCTCTGAAGAAGCTGAAATCTTCCGAGACGCCAGCTTTTATGGATAGATAAATAGTATGGTAACAACCTCGTATTTGTTCATAAACAGAACAGTGAATTGTGATTGTCTTTATGGCCTAATGACACAAAAAAGGAATCTCGAGCAATACAAATCGCTTTAATCGTCCTCAGTCATAGAACGACGACTAAGAAGAATTTCCACCTTCAAAGACAACTCGTAACACCATAAGGGCCACTGATATCGGATTTTGTCCGCTTTTTTCAGCATTTAGTTCCACATAAAGCTTGCAGTGAGCTTTATTCACTGGATTGAAGATAGTTAGAATCTATACATCTCCATCGACAGGAAATGAACCAATTTATTCAATGATAAAAAAATTACAGGCTTCTCAAACCCACAAATCTCTGAGGTGTTCTTCAGTGACACACTGACTGCTGAAGACCTTTTCAGTGCGTCTTTTGAAATACTTAACAACTTGGCAGTCAGCTGGCAAAAAAGCCAAAAAATTTTCTGGGTGAGATGAAGTATTTTATCATAGATCTTAAATGACGATTTCACCCAAGCATAAGCTTAGAATCGCTTTTTCTTACGATTAACATATTGAGTCTCAGTGGTGCAATGAGTAACACGTGAGCACTCAGAAAGGGAGAAAGGGTCATCACGGGTTCGAATCTGGTCTGAGACTCGAGTTTTACAAATATATCAGCACCATTATGGGTGTATCTCATATAATACTCTGCCGTGAAAGAATAATAGGCAGCAGATGAAGTTAAACATTGTGGCCAAGAACTTTATTGATCTAGCCGGAAACTCGTCCGTTTTGCCTATTCGGACGAAAGACTCGTCCGTCATCCACACTCTGACCAGCAGTCAACGTCAGATGTGCTCGTCACGTAATTACGGACTGGTGGCGAAGTCAATTTACGGCTTTAGTCGTGTCATGTTGACCTTCGCCGGCCAGTCCTAAATCATCAGTGAATTCGAAAATCAAGCACATCGAAACAATTTTTTGTGTGGCATTAAGAGGAATTTCTGACAGCTACTTCCAAGGGGTTTCAGTGTTACTACTCTTCTTTTTACTTCTAACAGCCTTTTGTTTACACGATCTTGGATTCTTAGTCAAAGACGAAGATGATAAGCGAGATTTATTCGTCTAACTTTTGTCCTCCCTTTGTTTCTTAGAATCTGCGATGTCTTTGTATTCAGAAACGTAAAACTTGTCTAACAGTTAGTTTTACTATTGCTTACCTTGTCTCCCTTCTTTCATTTTTCGGTGTCAACATTCAAATCTACAATGATTTTTCGGTGTCAACGTTCAGATCCACAGTGGTCAGTGGGTGTCACGACATCCACCATGGGTGAGCAGAATTTTACAG